TCGCAGTTGGGAGGGGGGATTTTTAAATTTATTGATAAAAATTATTCTAGGAATTACTTAAGAATAATAGTTTCCTAAATTTATTAAGACTTGTGACTAGTGTTGCCGAACTGCGCGATTTGAGCCGATTTTTAAAAACGGTGAACTCAATATTTTATTCAGAAAAATTTTATGCAATCCTGAAGAATTTGCTCATAAATGGTGCATAGGTTTGGAAATCTATCAGCTAAATTTCAAGACTTCGGAAAATTTTTATGTGGCTAAAATCTTGAGTTCGCCGTTTTTAAAATCGGCTCAAATCGGGCCATTTAACAACGCTGCTAATGACTATAAAATATTGGCAATTTCTAATATAAAAATTCAAATATAGACAATTATAAATATTAAATGTATATAATCAGGGTATGAGTCATTATAAAAATAAATTTCTCGAAAAAGAACTTTGTAAAAAAGGATAAATTTTCTAAGCGCATAAAATTTGATATATAAATTTAAATAATATATAAAAATAAATATTGGAAATATAGATTAATACACAAAAATTGGGAATCTAGCTTATGTCTTCTAGAAAATTTCAAAGTATTAGAAATTAATATTAATAGATTTTAGGGAAGTAAACACATATATTTAAGTTGAGTTTTATAAAAATTACTAAAAAATTAGAGTTTAACGTAAATCTTCAAATGAGCATTTTTGAGCAAAAAATCTTCACATTTTTGATCTTATAAAGAGCAACGATCTTTGAAGATTTTTGAATCTGTAGCAAATATTAATCCCTGCTAAAAATAGAGGAAATATACTTCCAATTTGTTTGGATGGATTTTTCCCTATTCTTTGCGACTTTAAAAAAAAAACTCTAAATACAAGTGTTTACTTCCCTAGCATCTATTAATATTAATTTCATATTTACAAAAGAGATATATGCGATATTCCCAATTTTTAGCGATTTTTGTTTTATCGATTTAGAATCTATACCCAAAAATATTCTTAAGAAATATTGCATATATAAATTTCAAAAATATAGATGATAAAATATGTGTGACTAGAAATAGTAAAAAAATATAATAAAGAAATTTATAAATTTATAATGCAAAATTTAATATTATTGAGATTGAGCTATTTTTTCAATGATTTCACCCGTGCTTCCTATGTAATAATACCTATTCAATCTATTTCATGAGGTAGTACTTCTTGATGTTGTTAAACGGCTCAATTTGAGCCAATTTTTAAAACGGCTAACTTAATTATATATTATTCAGATATAGTTGACAAAAAACTTTGATAGAGGTCTGTAATAAACGATGTTTTAACCCACTCGCCCATACTTCAGGAGGGAGTGGTCGGGTTTTCTAAAATATTTTAAACATAAGGTAAGTGGTAGGTGGGTTAAATTTTTTTAATGGGAGGGTGTGGGCGGGTAAAATTTTCATATTTTTAAGGCGAAATCAGCAGAATAGTCTTCAATTTATTAAAAAATAATAGTTTCATTTCAAAATATTGTATATTATACATGTGGAAATTAAAAATACATTAAAGTAAAGAAATAGAGTCGACCCAGCCTTTAAAATAATTTTTAAGCATTAGGGGCAAGTTAAACAAAATTAATAGATAAATGGGTAGTAGGGCAATAAATTTTTTAAAAAGAATTATAAATAAGCTGACGGGCTTGTTAAAAAATTTTAAACCACGAATGGGCGCGCTTTTTGGCTATAAAGACCTCTAGTTTGAACATGTATTAGCGATATCTCGAGACTTATACAATATTTTTCTGACTTTTAAAGATCAGCTTCAGCTCAAATCAAGACATTTAAAAACACAACTTTTCATGTATTTATTCTTTCTAAAAAGGGAAATTTTCTTTTATTGGTGTAAAAATATGTAATAATCTTTATACATTAGGAAAATTGTCTTTTCTCTAACAAGTTTTGAAATAGCTGCGATAATAATATTTGCAGATTTATAAGTGCTACCTGATTAATTAAGTACCTTTTATTCATTTTAGGTATAAAATTATCCAAGATGGGGATAAAGAGATTATTCTATGGCATTCCTCAAGTGATCCTAAATCCTATATTAATAATGGTAAATCTTGCATTGCTACAAGTCGAGGTAGATAAATATTAGATTCACAGAGCTCTGCTTTAACTCAAAAATGACATAATTTATGAAATTCGTCATCTACCATTGCCCTAATATACTTAAGTTCCAATATAATACTTTTAGCTATTCTCATAGTCTCAATCATATCGCATTTTTTGATAAACAATAACTATTATTATTATTATCAATATAAGGTATAATAATTTAAATTTTCATTATAATAAATTTTAATATGTTTAAAAATGTTTGAAAAATATATAATAATACTATTTAAAAAAAGAACGGAGATGGTGTGACGCAGGGAAAAAAAATGAAAAAGGGACGTAAGCGTTGTCTATGATAGCTCTTTGGCTAGAAGGCTACCATTGAAACTGATATAATTAGCTTTGTGAATCGCTATGGATAATCGTTGACGAAGAAAAAAACCCTCTCGTGGTTCTTCTGAGAGTTTGCTGATTTGTGATCCTAAGTTTTTGAAAAATGCTAAGGCGAGTTTGCCGAAGGTGCCAAGAGTGGTTGATATGATTGGGATGAAGCAATGATCGTTTATTATTTCTGTGTATTTAGAAATTTTAAGTTGTTCCTTCTGGTCAAGGATGTTGATGGCGTGGTTGGATGGGGCCAAGGGGTCAATACAGGAATAGTCCCATACCAAAAGTTGGCCTCTCCTCCATGGGATTTGAGAGATCCCATCAGGAAGTTTACCGTCAGATCTAAAAAGACCCTGTGGTTCTAACGTGGAAGGAATTTGGGCGGATTTCAGAGCATGTTGGATGATTGTATTACATTGCTTGTGTCTGATGAATCGTCCATTGCAGGAGCGACAATGTAAACTATGTCTACCCTTCGAGTCAACTGGCGAGTTGCACCCTGAGCAGATGTGGGGGTGAGTGATGGAACAATTTAGACGAATGCCGATGGCATGGGTAAATTCATTGTTGGATAGTTGAAGCTGAAGATTGGTAGATGGGATGGCCTCAAGAAAAACATGTCCCGTACCATTGAGCAAGGAAGAGAATAGGGTGCGGTCGGTAGATTGCATGCTAGATAAGAGAGTTTCAACGCAGCGAGCAACCACTGGTGCATCCCAGTCTTTCTGTTTATGGGTTGTGGGGGGATGAGAATCAGCATTGATCCTTGTTTTCCAAATATCCATAGCAACGATTAAGGAAAGGTCTTCTTTAGAATTATGGGCGGTGGTTATTGGCTTTGTCAAGAGACTACTCGATATGAAAGTAGTTGTTGCTAAGTCAAGTGGAGATCTGATGCCGAAACCACCAAATTTGGTTGGAAGAGTTGCTTGGGCCCAAGCGGTTTCGTTGAATCTGATATTTACTATTTTTTCGGTTAAGTCCTTTATTCCTTTTTCGTAAGTTTGGAGAGGAATAGGATATTTAAAAATTGGTGTTGACCGAAGTGCGTAAAGAATCCTTGGTATAAAAAAGAAATTTTTTAGCAAATATAAATATGGATTCATTCATATTTTCACTTGCCAGCTGATGGGATGACATATTACGCTCTCTATAGATATGCAAAAGAAGGAAAACTGGAAATGTTATATATGGGTATGAATAAACTTTCGGAAGAAGAACAACGAGAAGCCTTGGCATGGTATTTTAATGAGAATTTTGATTTGAATTCTTTGAAATCTGGCACTACTTATCAAAGTAGTCTTAGAGATATGTTGGATTTCAGCAATATTATGTCTGATTATCAAGAATTAGATATAGATGAAGCAGATTGGGATAACTATCAATTATGCCAATATTTTAAACTATATTTTAATAAAATATCAAATAATAAACATGCATACATTTATAAATAAATACTTACATTATAGTCAACCAATATATAAAATGAATATGTTATCCATAGCTGCAAAAAATGGCCATCTTAAAATAGTATCTTTTCTGCTTAGTATAGATAATAAATCTGAAAGATTTAAATCAAATTTGCAGAATGATAAAATAATTGATTATAATTTAAAAAATGATAAATGTTTATATTTTAGTCCATTATGGTGGGCTGTCTATTCAGGACATTTTGGCACAATGAAGTTACTATTAAAGTTTGGTGCTGATATTAATATGGTGATACAATCAGTATATATTGGAGTTGAGAATCAATTAATTAGCTTTAATCCTTATACCTCCCCATTTATGATTGCTTGTTCTATTGGAAATATTGATATGGTAAAATATTTATTATACAAAGGTGCAAATATTTTTCTTAAATCATCATGTGGTTCAACATCTTTACATTTTGCTGCAGAGCAAGGACATATAAATATAATAAAATTATTATTAATTTGTGACAAACCAATATTATGCAATAATGAAGATAATTTAGAAAAAAAAAAACAAAGTTTTTGTCTAAATGAAATTCAAAACTTAAATTTTACTGATGGCAATAAATCAGATATTTTACCAATAATTAGAAATCTAAAATTTAATAAAAATAATTACACCAAATGTTTAAATCCAACTCTTAAAAAATTTAGATGTAGAATAGAAAATAAGACTGAAGAAGTTAAAATTTTAACAACCTTAAATCATTATTCCTTTAGCCCATTGAGAACAGCTTTAGAAAGTGGTAAAATTAAATGTGCTCATTATATTCTCTCCACACTTACTGATATATTTGATAATGATTCTTTAACAGATTCTGTATTTGGTGGTTCAATTAAACACTTTAAATATCTGTATTCTTCAAATATTTTATCTGATAGTTGAATCATTGGAGCTGATGGGTGTCTACTTTATTCACAATCAACAGAATCAGGATATTCAAACATGTCTTTATTTTTTAAAATTAGCTCTTGGAGTACGATTTATTAAACATAAAAATATGCATAAGCATAACTATTTACCTATCACTGATCATCCATTATTTAAACATGAAAAACAGTATCTAAATTTAAGTAAATTAAATTTGGTTTCAAATGATATAGGGGACTTATAGTATACATTGATGATTTGTGAAAGAATTCAAAGTCCTTTCCATCCCACATATTCTCTAAAGTTAAAAAATCTTGGATATTTTTTTGCCAAAATGGCAGATTTTCATAAAAGTATATCTTTATGGATATATTCATTGGAAATATATTTTATAAGGGGGTGCTCAATTAATGAAACCTTGATTAAACTTATACGGGTAAAGGTTATGTTTAGTTTGAAATTAAACTTATATATTATTAATAATTATATGCAAGCTTTTTTCACAAATGATATTCCTGAACATCAAGGTGACTTTTCAAGATTTTATTACAAAATTGAACTATACTCAACGATCAATTCAGCGAGATTTAAAGGTCATTAATAAAACACACAACTTACCATATATTTTGTATGTTGAAAAGTTGGAATCTATCAGGTAATATTTTTAAAAATTCTTTTTTCTTATTATGTGAGTTGCTAATTTTCTATCTCTAAATTTATTAACAACATTGTCATAACATATAACTAATAATAATCATCATATTAAAATTATTAATTTTATGATTTTTGTTAACAATGCATATTATTTAACAATCTTCTGCCATCCCACGTGATTTTCATAGGCAGAAACTTTAAAAACTATTTTAACATTATTTAAACTAAACTACCTATCATTGCTCATGTCCTTCATAAAAATCCTTTCTTTATGCCATAACATTGCATATATTTAAAAATAGTGTTCTCCTAGCAAGGTGTATTTATCTAATTAAAAAAAAATTAAAAATATTGAATTTTTTAGATTTAAGTCAGAATTTTTTTAAGAGATTGGATTTTATAAACTAAAATTTTAGATATGGGGATATATTAATAAAGTTCTTATACCATCTTTTTATATGATATTTAAACTTCTATGTGTATCAATTTTAATCTTCCAATACATTAAAAGTGCCTTCAACACGTTTTAAGGCTGGCTAGCTACCTGTCAATACTGCAATAATTTTAGTGCAAAATACGATCTACTGATGATGCTGAATATTGTTTTATGTCTTGTTGTGATAAGCTTTGGCCTTGTGTTTTTAAGTAAGATAAGAGAACTTTATACAAATTTATTATCAAAAAATATTTATTAAGTCAATACTAAATCCCTAACTAATTGCCTGTTTTGTCAAAGAATTAAGATTTTCGAGGACTAATTATCTGTTTGGTTCAATGTTTTAAATAAGACTTTTCTTAGCGCCTTGCAAATTTAATTTATTTCAGCCAAAGCTCCATCCAAAATCTTTATCTAGGCCCAAGCCTAGACATTATTTTTAATTTTAGGCCTGAATCTGTCCTGTCTAGTGTTGTTAAACAGCTAAGCCAAATCTACTTAGCTGTGAATCGAGCCTAGTTTCTAGTCGATAAAACGACTTTGACTCGAGTCGACTAAATGATCCGCATTGGTCGGCTCGTGTAAGTCAACTCTTTGGGCCTGTTCAATTTTTTTGTTTTTTTATAAAATCAGGTAAATTGCTAAATTTTGGGTAACTGATTAATGTGAACAAAATTATAATAAGAATATACATGTCGTAACTAAAAATAGTTCAGGACCCAAATTCGACTTCAGCGATTATATATTTAATTTTTATAACACAAAAATGTAAAAATATAATTTATATTGTAAAGATGTTAAAATAAAACTTCAGTGAAGATGTACCCTCGATAAGTGACAATTGTCATAATCGTTGTTTTTAAAGTTTTTTGAATTTTTTTGACGCAAGAAGGTAAAAATATAGATTGTAAATATTTTATATTAAAATTTTAGTGTGTACCATAGATAAGTGACAATTGTCATAAATGTTGTTTTTAAAGTTTTTTTAATTTTTTTGACGTAATTGGGCTAAATTAAATATTGCTAACATGTTAAAATAAAACTTCAGTGAAGATGTACCCTTGATACAGAGTTTCCCATTCAAAAAAGGAAAATTCCTAAAAAGAAAGGAAAAGTGTCAAACAAAAAAGAAAAAAAGTTTAATTAAAAAAGGAAAAGTGTCAAACAAAAAAGGAGAAGGTCCAAACAAAGGAAAAGTGTCAATCGAAAAAAGAAAATTCCCAAAAGGAAAGGAAAAGTGTCAACCAAAAAAAGAAAATTCCCATTCAAAAAAGGAAAATCGTAATTTTTTAAAAATTTTTGTCAATTTTTCTTTATTTTTGTTATTCTTTCTCAATTTATCTCTAAATTTTCGCGATTTCTTTACGTTTTATTTCTTACTGTATCTTTTCTCAATTTATTTCTAACTTTTTGCGATTTTCTTTACTTTTATTTTTCTTACTATATCTTCTCTCAATTTATTTTTCTTCTTTTTTGATAATTCTTTTGTATTTTTGAAAATAATTTATAATTTTTAACAATATTTTACGTTTTTTTTCATCATACATGCAATATTCTTTTCATAATTTTTTCATTGTAATCTTTTACATACATTTCTAACCTTTTCAATCTCTTTAAGTCATTTTTTTCCCTATTTTTTTGAACATTTCTCAATTTTTTTTCTTCTCATTTTTGATAATTTTAAAAATAAGAATTTAAAAATGATTATATTTTATTAATTTACATATCGTTTGGTATTACAGTTCAAACTTATTTATTTTAAAAAGGTATACTATAACTAGTGTTGTTAATTTGCTTGGTCGTAAAATTTACGACCAAATTTCGTGCTCAGGCCGACCCGGGGTTCAGACCCGGGGTCCAGACCCGGGGTTCAGACCAGGGGTTCAGACCCGGGGTCCAGACCCGGGGTTCAGACCCGGGGTCCAGACCCGGGGTTCAGACCCGGGGTTCAGACCCGGGGTCCAGACCCGGGGTTCAGACCAGGGGTTCAGACCCGGGGTCCAGACCAGGGGTCCAGACTTACACCTTGGGGTTGGGCTCGGATAAATGAAAAGTAAAAAAAAAATATTTCATTTTCTAATCTTAAATTAAATCTTATTCTTCTTATCTTATTCATTCTAAATTAATAAATAAAGCTTTTTTTATTATTATTTTCTTACCATTTTCTTTCTTTTGATAAAAAATTTATATGGTAAAATAAAAATATATGTAATAAATATTCAAAAAGAGTAGCCCATGCATGACGGAATAAAAATAAAAAAGTAAAATTTTATTTTAACACATATTGATATTGTAATTTAATGTGGAGAGGACCAATATAAAAATTCAACGTCATTCATGCATGTATAAATAATAAAAAGAAATGTAAATTTATAATTTGTGATAAAATAATGGCCAATAAAAAGTTTTTCTTTATTATATTAAAGTTTATATTCCCAATAATATATATGTCATAATTTTTAAAGGGATGTCAACTATCCAGGATCACCACGGGTTTTAAAGGTATAACTAATAAATTTGGGTTTTAAGTAGGTGTATACCGATATCACTTTTTGGAGGCCTATCCGATCCGATATTAAATTGATATCGACCGATTACCGATCCGATATCATATCTAATTTTTATGTCATTTATTTAAATATATTATAATGATCAGTTATAGTTTTTATTCAATTCTATTGCAATTCTAAAAGTATATAAAATATTTTTATTGTTAAATAACTTTTATATAAATAAGTAACATTAATCTATATATAATAAATAATAAACATATATAATATGAAATTTGAATAAAATTTTAAACAATATTTAACATTAATAAATCGAAGATTTATTATTGGAAATACCAAAATTTACTTATTTATCAGAAATCAATTTACGTTTACGGCGATGTTAACTGTCAAGTTAATTAATATCACCAAATTCACTAAAAAAAGATTCTGAAGAGATTATCGCAAACTTTTATAAACAGAATGGTGCATAAAAATAACAATATGGCAGAATGATTAATTAATTATTATTATTAAAAAAATATGGATTTCGATTTTATTTATTAAAATAAATGACTATTAAAAACTTAAGAAATTGTTGAGAAAATTTTTGTTATTTTTTAAAAACTTCCTGTAATTTAACTTAAATAATTATTTTTCAAATGGTTCTTCAAACCAAATAACAAAACAAGATCCATATAATTGAGGTAATATTACTAGTTTTTTATTTAATATATTTCACACACAGCCTCTTTAACTCACATACGATATGATATATCAAAAAGGAAATTCGATCTATATCATAGTGTTGTTAATTTGCTTGGTCGTAAAATTTACGACCAAATTTTGTGCTCAGGCCGACCCGGGGTTCAGACCCGAGGTTCATATTATTTTTATATGTTAAATTTTTTATTCCGGAATCTAGACACGGGGTTCAGAACAGATATATGTAAAGTAAGATAAAATAAATCTCATATCTAATCTTAAATTAAATTAATATTATTATACCTTCTAAATTAATAATTCAAAGCTTTATTTTATTCTCTTTTTTCTTTTTTGTTTGTAAAATTAATTATAATAAATAACACATTTATTTAAAAAGTTATTTAACTTTAATTAAATAAAATAAACAATATAAATTGATTTAATTTTTTTTATAAATTGCAAATGTTTTATTTTATTTATTTTTCATTTCTTAGTTATAAATATAATATCGTCAATAGTTTTTCTTTTTTATTAATTTTAATGTCAGCTTATTAAGCTTGGTTTTAAAAAAATATTTTATTTTGATTTCGCGGCTTTGTCCACGTGAAAGAAACATGCATATATTTATATATATATATACTAAATGGGGGTGAAGTGCTAGTAGAAATAAATTTATTTTTAAAATTTGATTTAAATTAAAATATATACAATAGAATATAAAATACAATATTAATTATATTTATATAATTTTTTCATAAACACGAATCGAATGCATCTCATCTTGCTCGTGGATATAGACTCCAGCCTAAAAAATATTTAAAATATAAAAAATCCAGTCAGAAAGTTCGTATCTAATTCTGAACTAAGATCAGGATGGTATAGAAATAATCTATAAGCAAACCTACATAATAATTCATTTTTATTATTTCCAAGCCCTAAAAGTCCCCGATTAAAAATTTTTTAGTCATAAGCTGAGTTGCTTGCAGGATTTTCCTATTTAAGTTCGATATTATTGATAAATAATTTTAATTAAAATATTTGAAACAACATTATTTATGGGGTTCGACTCGAGTTAATGCTGGCTTATTTCTTATATAAATATTGCTAATTTAGATCGCAGTAATTTTATTAGACCCACCTCGGGTTTGGGATTTACACAACCAAGACCAACCAATTAAACAACACCCATATCGATATTTTGTGTTAATAAAAATATACCTGACCCCCCTCCCCCAGGACCTATACCCGCCCTGTATGAGTGATCATTATCATTATTATTATCATTACAAAAAAATATTTTTATTTCCATATAAACGAAATCAAAATAAAATATTTTTTTAAAACCAAGCTTAATAAGCTGACATTAAAATT